CGCTGGTCCCCAGGCCCAGCTCTGCAGCCTCCCTGAGCTGGGTGGGGGGCTCTGTCCTGGCTCCCAGCCTCCAGAGCCCTTTCCCTCGACACCATGGGGCTGCCAGACACCCGGGCTTTCTCCTTGCCCACGAGCATCTCCCACAGGTCACCCGCAGGGCAATTTCTGCTTTTGCCACGAATCCATTTATCCCCTCCCCAGCCCCAAATTTCAGAGGGGAGTGCATGAAATACTGAAAAAAATACAAGAACTGGGCACATCTGAGGGCTCAGGCAACCCTGTGAATGTGCTGTTCATCCATCTGTCCGCCAGCCAGGACGCTCCAGGTGCGAGAGCTGCTCATCAGCCCCATGGTCGTGCTTGGGAGCACCATGCAACACTTGGTGTTGGGCAGGGGACCACCAATGGGAACGTCCCTCACTGGGCCACCTCTTCAGGCACTCACCTCTCCTCCTCCACACAGGTGGCCAACCTGCTGCGGCTCTTCCAGATCCCACAGATCAGCTATGCCTCCACCAGCGCCAAGCTCAGCGACAAGTCCCGCTACGACTATTTCGCCCGCACCGTCCCGCCAGACTTCTACCAAGCCAAAGCCATGGCAGAGATCCTCCGTTTTTTCAACTGGACCTACGTCTCCACCGTGGCCTCGGAGGGTGACTACGGGGAGACAGGGATCGAGGCCTTTGAGCAAGAAGCCCGCATGCGCAACATCTGCATTGCCACCTCGGAGAAGGTGGGACGCTCCATGAACAAGAAGACCTACGACGGGGTGGTCCGGGCTCTGCTGCAGAAGCCCAATGCCAGAGTGGTTGTGCTGTTCACTCGAAGCGAAGATGCCCGGGAGCTGCTGGCAGCTGCCCAGAGAGCCAACATGTCCTTCACGTGGGTGGCCAGTGATGGGTGGGGAGCCCTGGAGAGCGTGGTGGCCGGGAGCGAAGCGGTGGCGGAGGGAGCCATCACCATCGAGCTGGCAGCCTACCCCATTGCGGAGTTTGCTGCCTACTTCCGTAACCTCAACCCCTACAATAACAGCCGAAATCCTTGGTTTCGGGAGTTTTGGGAGCAGAAGTTCAAGTGCAGCTTCCACACGCAGGACTGTAGCCGGTACTCCCTCAAGACAGGCAAGTTTGAGCCAGAGTCCAAGATCACTTTCGTGGTCAATGCGGTCTATGCCATGGCTCACTCACTCCACAACATGCACCAGGCGCTGTGCCCCAACGCCACCAAGCTCTGCGATGCCATGAAGCCCGTCAATGGCAAGAGGTTCTACAAGGACTTTATGCTCAATGTTAATTTTGATGGTGAGTCTGGAGATGGAGACGGGGTTTGGCTGCCTAACTGGAAAGGGATGGGTGGAGGGGCAGAAAAGTGGAAGGAGATGCAAATTTGTCCCAAGACCCTCCAATTCCTCCAGCCTGCCCTTACCTGAGGACCCCTGTGCTGTGGGCTGTGGTTGTCCCAGGATGCCAAGAGCCCACCATCTCCCTTGGGAGGCAATCCAGGCCTTCTGTCCCCGTTGTGGAGGAGCTTTTGACCAACTCCATCCTGCTACAGCTGGATGAGACCAGCCCCACGAGGGACACTCCAAGAACATGGGTCCTTGGAGACCTTGCTTGCAAGCGTCGTGATTTCTTCACGTTTCAGGGATGAAACTGGAGGGATACCCTTGATCAGGGCCCATGTAGTTTGGGGTGAATTAGAAGCGTGTCCTGTGGGACTTGGGCTGAGCCCGGCTACCCAGGTATCGCTGAGAGCCACAGAGGCTGCAAAATCCCCCACTTTGCCCCTGCAGAGCTGGCTGGGGCTGCTGAGCTCTCAGGCCCATAGGGAGTTTTCCACCTTTGCTTTCCTGCTCCTAACATGTGCATAAGCAGCAAGTGTAGGAGTGAAGGCAGGCAACAGGTTGGACATTTGCCTGTGGCCACGGTGGGATGTGGCCCTTTGAAGGCAGTGACTGTCTTCCCTTCTTCTCCTCCCTCCAGCTCCGTTCAGGCCATCAGACCCCAAGAGAGTCGTTCGATTTGACCGCTACGGCGACGGGATCGGGCGCTACAACATCTTCAACTATCACCGCATGGACGGGCGGTATCGGTATCAGAAGGTGGGCTACTGGGCTGAGGGGCTCATCCTCAACACCAGCCTCATCCCGTGGGCTGAGACCTCCATCCCTGTGTCCCAGTGCAGCGACCCCTGCAAGAAGAATGAGATAAAGAGCATGCAGCCCGGAGACATATGCTGCTGGATCTGCATCCCCTGCCAGCCCTATGAGTACTTGCTGGATGAGTTCACCTGCATGGACTGCGGTCTTGGTTACTGGCCCAATGAGACCCTGAACGGATGCTATGAGTTGCCCCAAGAGTATATCCGCTGGAAAGACGTCTGGGCCATTGGTCCCGTCACTATCTCTTGCCTGGGTTTTATCTCCACCCTTTTCGTTTTCGGAGTCTTCATGAAGAACAATGACACCCCCATCGTGAAGGCCTCTGGCCGGGAGCTCTGCTACATCCTCCTGACCGGAGTGCTCATGTGCTACAGCATGACCTTCATCTTCATCGCGAAGCCCTCCACTGAGGTGTGCACGCTCCGGCGCCTGGGGCTGGGCACCTCCTTCGCCGTCTGCTATTCAGCCCTCTTGACCAAGACAAATCGCATCGCCAGGATCTTCAGCGGGGTGAAGGAGGGGGTCCAGCGCCCCCGGTTCATAAGTCCTGCATCGCAGGTGGTCATCTGCATGGCCCTCGTCTCTTGCCAGCTGATCATCGTCATCATCTGGCTGCTGGTGGAGACCCCCGGCACAGGCAAGGAGACCGAGCCTCACAAGAGGTACATTGTCACCCTCAAGTGCAACAACCGCGACTCCAACATGCTCATTTCCCTCACCTACAATGTCCTCTTGATTGTCCTGTGCACGGTCTATGCCTTCAAGACACGCAAATGCCCCGAAAACTTCAACGAGGCCAAGTTCATTGGGTTCACCATGTACACAAC